TAAATACATTATCGTCCATCGTAATTGATATACATCGGTACAGCTGCATGCACGATGTATTTAAATGATTTAAATAATTTAAAAAGGAAAAAAACACGATTGCTATCTAATTATAACTGTCACTGTATTCTCATAACTACGGCATTTAATATGATTACGATTGAGCCAATATCGAGTTCTTCTCCATTATACCAGTAATCTTGAAAAGAATTAAGCAATTCAAGATTTTCTCATCTAAAGATAAATAATTTTTTCAAAAATGTGTAAAATGAAAAATTTTCGATAAGGCATTTTACAGTTTTTCCCAATAAATTCATGTTTTTTTTTTATATATCTTTGTAATTTTTTAAGGATAATTATTCCTTCAAGCTCGAAGTTATCCTTTTATCTAAAGCAACTGTTACAAATCCCTTTTGGAAATTCGTATGTATTATAAGCTTTATTGCACCTTGTATGCACAAGTGCCATATTACACACTAGCGAAGTCTCTTTTTTAAAATAGAATGTCACTTTTGTTAAGACTCCAGCATACAAGTATGCATCATACAAGGTAGTGCGTTTGAAAGTGCAGCTGCGCGATGTCAACAATTTTACAGCGCTATTAAATATTTAATATAGACGCGTACGTTTTTTTCTCGTGTCTTTTATTTCATTATGCAACATATATTCACACACTTTATTACACTGTTGACTGTCGCTAACAAGAACAGTTTCTCTACAACGGTTACACAACTCTTTTTATTTTCTCTATAGAACTACTTTCAGACACGTGACATTTAAGCACTTCTATTCATATTTAATAACGATTGTAATAACAGTTATTCTGTTTACTGGACTTGCTTTCCGTGTATTAGTACAACAGCGAGGTTTTGGAAAAGTCTGTTTAACGCTATCAAGATACATTTGCACTTGACAGAAGTTTTTCAATATCTTTCAAAACCTATTGCCAGAGTATAATACACTTACATTGTATTTGATGTCTTCAAGTCTGTCAACAAATTAATTCTTACGAGAAATGACAATTATCGCGTATCAGTAAAATAATATTGGAATTACATAAAATAAGTAAGTAGTAAAATAAAGGGAGTAAAATAAAAATTAGAATTACATAAAATTTTATTCTTCAGAATAAATCAGATTGGAAACAAAAATGTCAAGTGCAAATATATCCTAATTCATACGGTTGACATTAGTGATTGACAAAGTATAAGAAGTTTTTAGTATTTTCAATTTTAATCTTACTGTATACGAATATAGCTTGCGATAATGTATTTATGATAAAATTAGATTATTTGCTCTATATTTTTTCTTAATTAACCCTTAAAAGCTAATTGATCTAAATTTTTAATGCAGTTATCGCAGATACGATTATATTCAAATAAAAATATATTTCTTTTTTTTTTTGGTTTAAAAAGTTTTTATCGAATTCGCAATCAAGGAGAGAAAATCTTTTAATGGAGGCAATCGAGATTTAATATTTTTCGAACGATATTTTTAGCTCTTAAGGGTTGTTGAAGTTCAGATTGTCCAGCGAGAGCACGCGCAGTATTGTCTAGAATTTAATTACAACGAAATATATTTTTCATTGATCCCATGATAGACAAGGATGTCCATGAAAGCACATTATATTTCCTTTTGTCTTGTAGCAGATCAGTTTTATATTTTTATAACGAATCGGAGATGAATTAAATTTTCATTATTAATTTTTCAAATAAGTAGTGATAAAATTTAGTATTTAGTGATTGTTTTCTTTTTAGACACACTGGTATAGACAGTTCATACAAAAATTATAAAGGATCAATTATTTATTTAACTATTTGTATGCTGTTGATAAATTTCCGATTTCTATAAGTAAGGTTAAAACGAAATTGTACTATTATATTAAATTATATATAAATCTCATTTATAAGAGTCGAGTACAATTGTTTTAATTAATTTAATAATAGATAACTTTCGCAATATAATCAGCCTTGCAATAAATTGTCAGTCAACAAAAGAAACAATCTAAATTATATTTAAATTTACTTCAAAACTTTACTACTAAGAAATAACAATAACAGTAAACAAAAATAGCAATGTCTTTCCAATTTATTAAAAAAAACTAATAAATTGTACTTTCCTGCATAGAATCAAAACTTTAATGTTACAAAAACTTATCAGAAACGAATCGCATGCGAAATCTAGTAACGCGAAACAACATATTCTTTATAAAATATGTATATATTTATTCGCGAATCAAAAACCGATCCGCAGCATGACTCTCGTATTTTTGTTCGTGTATACTGTTTTGAGGTAGAAAGAGTGAAATTCATTAGGAGACACCACGAGCCATTTCTAATGATTAGAAACACGACGAGCACTTGTACCTAGAAACGAACATTTTAATTGATTTTCAATCTCTGTTAATTGAGACGAAACGTGGAGTTCTTCTTTTTCTCTCTCTCTCTCTCTCTCTTTCGACTCGTTCCTAACGCCTTATAGCTCATTACCGTTTTCGTCATGTTTTTTTTTTTTTTCGTTCTTAATGACTCTGCTTCATTGGTAGGCGTTAATGAAGAATACTACGGCGATGAAAGCTTCGGCACACAGAAAGAAATTGCAGAGCGCAAGATATTTACTTTCTCCACGACCACGATCGTCTAGTTATCACCTAGGCTTCTCATGCTTATTTTCTTCTTACTCGTTCAACATTAACTTTAATCTTCTATAATGCTATTACGCTTGATCTCTATACCCTTATATTCTATTGATTTATGCTACGTTTACGTACGCTTGCCACATTATGCGGCTCGCAAGCAATTATTTTTAGTTTTAGCTTTCTTTTTCTCTGTCTTGCGTGTAAGTTCACACAGTAATCCCTAGAATATTGAAGACGACAGAACGTCAGCTGTCTGGAAGCGAGTATATTAATTATTCCGCTTGTACATGAACCTCGAACCTCCTGTGCAAAAATCTTAGAAGAGCTAGTAAACGTACAACGTACACGTGATTTCGTTCCCTTTCACATTCTCGCGATATTAGCGTGGAAATATTTTTTTAATTTTAGCTTAGAACTTGTAGTCGAATTATTGATCACTTGAGAATCAAATATGAAAACTCTACGTTCAATTCTGTAGATTGTTTTATTCAAAGGAATTGAAAACTTCTTGTGGCTCTGTTAAAAATAAATGTAGAACTCTTGTAATTCACACAAGAATTCTTTACATTTAACTTTAAACGTTTTAGCAAGGCTGATTAATTTTGTTCCTTAAAAAACATTTTGTTCCTTACAAACACACTTGATCATTTCTACTGAATGACATTTAAGACTTTTGCACAATGTTATACTCTCCCGTTTTGAAAGATCGATCTCCGATCTAGCGATTATCACTTGCTTTACACGTCAATTATATGCTAACCATATATTCTGAATTTCTGAAAAATTGACATTTTGACAAGCATACGTTATTCACCCTCGTTCTCTTTGCCGTCTAAAAACTTTTATTCAAATATTTTTGATATAGTATGTTAATGTATTTCGAGAAATTTTGACCCGAAAGGGAAAATGATGTTCCACATTTCTCTGATTTATTGTTAATATCATACGTGTATTATCTACAGCATTGAATTGGACATTTTAGTAACTCGCTCAATGCATCCTCTGTCTCTGTTCCTTCTTACCGAGCATGATTTCCATCAAATATACATCTTATCGTATAACAGATTTGCATAGTGACTAGGATAAAAAATCAAAAATTCATCAGGGATCGTAGCCCTAACGTGGAATAAATACATAAATCGCAGACATGAAAAATAAACAAAAGCATTGCTATTGGCAGTGAATTTCGAGAAACGTAGAAAATTAAATTTTGAGGAAACAGATTAACAGATATAATATATAATATTCCGTAAAATACGATTTGAAAAAAGAAAGAAACAATGAGATAGAAAATTTTTATAGCATTTTTTTCCTATTTTTGTTTTTATTTATCGGAATGTAATATAGTTAGAAAATCGCGTGTTTTCATCTCGCGTTTTATACGAAATCGAGTTCGTAGTATTTCCAACAACGGTCAACGATTAAATTAGCCGCCGGGGCATCATTTACAATGATTCCTCATTACACGTTTGTCGCGGCTGACGTTCACTAAAATACGAAAATTATATTTTTACCAGCAAAATGTAGTTAAAATACCGTGCAAGATAATCGTATGCTCAACACTTTCGTAAAAAAGGTACAAACGCTTGGAAATAATCAAATCATGGGGAATATAAATATTGCCCGTTTCCAATCACTTAATACAATATTGCGCAAAAGCTATTATAAAAGTAAGTTTCACAACTTTGCGAAGAATAGCGAAAGATATCAATCTGACGTTTTCGGATTTCCTTTCTTTACATTGTTGTTTAAATTTTCTTCTTTTTCTTCTACTTCTTCTCCTCCTCCTCCTCCTCCTCCTTCTTCTTCTTCTTCTTCTTCTTCTTTTTTGTGTCATGTATAATTCCATTTGGTGATATTTGCGATAGTTTTAATGTAAATTTTATGTCGCACTGCGTAGACGTGTTATTTAAAAATATATTTCTCGCAAAACATGACAGTTTGGAAAGGAATTTGGATCGAACGTGTTCCGTCTATTTATTAATTAATGATTGTATCGGAAAGCTCGATTAACAGTATCAAAGTTGTACGTATCGATAACGAATCAGTCTCGCGAGACCAATTCACACGTTTCTCAAGTATCTTTGAAAGCATGATCTTCCAATAAAAAGCATGCTCATTGTCAGTCAAAACGGTAACGAATCGCTTTATAAAATTCTCGGAGATTCGCGAAGGTAGAGCATCTCGATATTTTTTTATCACGAAAGAAATGAACAATTAGCGCTCGCGGATCAATAAAATGCAAAGTACATGCGAATTACAAATAAATGAAGTATTTCCTCGTAACATTTGTGTAAGTGCGTGTTGCGATGGCTCATTTATACAAACTGTGTCGCTCGTTACGATTAATTCGTGACATTGACATAATCGGTTTCAGATGTACGATTGTGCGCAAATGTTGGTTTGAATTCAGTTTTTAAAGTTCCTGCGGAAGTTCAAACGAAATCTTTTGTTCTGCAAAATGTACATTGTCACTCAAAGATCTACATTTTGCTCGTTACAACTAAAAATTTAAGAGAAACAAAACACGCAGTGACTTTTCAAAGGCTAAAAGCTCTTTATCCAGGTTTGTTAATTTTTTAAACAATCGACGCCTAATTCTTGAAGAAATGAAAAATCTTTCCTCGTGCCGTACTGATTACGATGATTGAGTCTGAAGACTCCTTTCGACGGAGTCAACGTGTTTTATGAAATGCTCTAAAAGGAAACATGATCGATTGGAGATTCGTGGACGCTCGTTCGCGAGGACAGCACCAAATTTTAACTGAATTCGGAGAAAGAAGGCCCGCGTATCAGTAGGCCACCCCAAGGCAGTGTGTACATTATGTAGATAATAAAATCCTTGATTGTTTGGTACTTCTTCGAGACGAGCCATGTCCATCTGGTTTCGTTGCTCGTAAAAAATATTCCCCTATCGTTGAAGATATGAAACCATAATGTGTCCGCACTAGAGGCTCATGCAACAGTGACATCATATACGATTGACCGCAAAACCAAATAATTAAAGCTTCTTGCCTTTGACTCGAGAACATTCATCGTGACGCACAGTAGATTTTTTCTTTCTTTCTCGATCGATGTCTTTGCGTTAATAATTTTCTATCGTTTGTCTTTTTCTTTGTCTTTTTCTTTTTTTTTTTTTATCGAACGATTTGAAACGTTCTAGGAAACGTATCTCTGTACTTGTTTTTTAAAGAATACTCGATCGGTGATTTATATGTATATATCGAAGCACTTATCGTAGCGATTATTATTGTAATACGCACAGTTACCTAAAGCTACCTAAATACATTACTTTTTCTACATCTTGCTTTGTGGTGCATGGTTCCTGCACGAAAGTTTAACAAATATTCATACATATACATTATGTACATCCTCGAATGCAGTCTAAAGCTACGTAATCGCATCCTATCACTATATACATGAAGCACACAGTACTCGGTTCGCCTGCGTTTAAACAAGTTCTACTACGTTATTGTCCAATTCGACCATAAGTCGTGGTGTGTAAATATAATTCGGTATTTAATTATGGAAGGCCTTCTTCTTCGTAACGTTCACCTCTGAGCTACGTCCCTTATCTGCTTCTCCTTTCTCTTTTGTCTTTTCGTCCCTCCCTTTACGTCATGTGCAGATCACCCTTCAGTATTCTGGTGAAAGTCTTTTTGAATTGCTGATTAGCCAAGGCGTAACAAAACGGATTGATAGGGCTGTTAGTGTAACAGAGGAAGTACGAGAACATGAATAGATGTTCGTTGGTGCACGGTTTGTTCAAACAGAAACCCTCCACCAGTGCCAAAACGTGGTACGGTGTCCAACAGGCGACAAACGCGCCCAGAATGAAAGATATCGTCCTGAACGCTTTTCTGGCTCTGTTCTCTGTCCGAGACTTCTGCCGGCCTAACAAAGGATCCCTTCTCTGCGTCTTGGTTTTCAAACGTTTGCCAATTGTCTTCACGAAGTCTTTCCTCGATCCACCTTCCTCGTTGCTCCTCGAGTCTTTCTTCTTCGATTGTTTCTTTGGATCTTGTTCGTTCGCCGTTGTGCCGGGACCGGAGATCGTCGGGACCATGCTACCGCTAGAAGACGAATTCTGCGGCGGATTGACCTTCGCGTCCTGGTCCGAGAACTGACTCGTCGCGGTATTGAACGCCTCTGCTGCTGGCGCGCTGACAATCGTCGTCACAGGCTGTTGCTTCGTATCCTTTGCTTTCACAGTAACCTCCGTGTGCACTTTGCTAACTGTCGGCGACGTTTGAGAGGCAGCGTTCGACTTTTGAGTGATGAACACGCGAGGCGGGTGCGTTTGACTAGACGCGTTGGACATCACCGGCTGGAGCTGACTCGGTTTGATCTGGCCCGATTGTTGATTGCTGACCTGTTGCGCCGTAGCTCTGATCAGAGCAGCCTGCAACAAACTCGTGTTCGGTGCCGTGGAGACGTTCCCTAAAATTGGTGACGAAGGCGCGCTCGACAGAGGATTCGCTAGGCTGTACGACAATGAAGACGATGGACTTTCGTACGAAGGACTCGGTAAGATCACCGAGCTCTCGTCCATGTATCTCAAGTCTCCGCCGTCCAAGCCGGTCAGAATATCGAAAGTTCCGTGAGAGGACACGACTAGCGACTTGGGTCTGTCGGTCGACGACGAAGTAGAAGGGCTGTCAGATACTTGCGGGCTGCTTTGGAACTGCGTGGGCGGCGGTATAATGTTTTGCTGGCTACTGCTGATAGAACGAGTAGGATGAGTAGGCGGTGACGTTTCGGCGGAGGTCAGAGGTTGCTGACTTGGGCCATCGCCGTTCCACTGTGATTGTTCAGGCGTCAGCGTTTGACTGCTCGACTTGTCAGGCTCTGGTGCGTTTTCCGTGTCCAACAGGCTCAATTCTTGTATCTTTGGCAACGTTTGTGCTTTCTGCGTGGCCGTGCCTATGTCGCACGTTGGACTGACCGAGAGAAGTTTCTTCGACTGCACGTTCGTCTCGAGTTTCGCGGGGACAATTCCGTTTAAATGTCCGTTGGTCGAGAAAATCGGAAGAGCGCCGGACTGGGCAACCATACCAGCCAGAGAGGATCGTTTCCTGATGCTGCTGAGCTGTTGAGCTGGGCCCATGGTGCTCTCCTCGTCGGAATCGAACGCCGGACTGCTAGATCTTTCTGATTTTTCCGCCTCTGTGGCAATGGTGTTTCCGTACACTTGTTTCTCGGTTGAATCGCTCGTGCCTGTTCCGGAAGTCTTTGACGAAGTTTTCTGCCCTGAACCGTCTCCGCCTGCCCCCTCCTCACCGGACGTGCTCAGTTTCGGCTTGTCCTGACTCAGTAGAGTGCTTTGCGTCTTCGACATCCCTATCCCAGCCGCACGGCCTGCCATACCAGACATCGCACCGGCACTCAGGGCAACCATGGATTGCATTTTTCGCTGTTTCTCCTCGCTTTTCTTCTGCATGTCGTAAGCTGTCTTGTATATGCCACCGTAGAGGATAAACAGGACCACCAGCGTCGTCCAGTAGTAGCCAATTATAAGGGCGGTGTTGAAAACTGGATCCTTGAGGAATTGAACGGTGCACTGGCCAGGATCTAGGTCTCTATAACCGATAAAATGCTCCCAGCCGAAAATACTGATAAAGAAGAGCAAGGCCGGGATGATCCAGGTGATGGTTACCATCCAGATCACGCGATTTTTTGTCCGCCAGCTGCGATATTTGGCCGCTATTTTCACCGAACAAAATCGATCGATCGTAATCAGTAACACTGTGTACTGGGATACCAGGCATACCGTGTAATCTACGGAGAGCCATAAATCGCAGAGTAAGGGCCCAAGATTCCAATATCCCATCAGAATGTAGACCGTGTAGAATGGCATGGAGACGGTGCCTGTTTAACAATTGTATCGTGATTAGGTCAATTTAAATTGAAAGCCGTCCATTGAAAGCCGCTTGCTTTAATTACTCTAACGAGACTCTACTTATTGAAAGTTAGACGTGCACTAGAGAACGCTAGTATAAAAAGTAATTTGGAAGGTTTCAGGGAATTTCAGATTTATTTTCAATTGTATAATTGTAGTCTTAGTTATTACTGTTTTGAAGGAATACAATTTGGGAAAGAAAAAGAAAGAAACAAATAGAAAGCAAAGAAATAGAGAAAGCGGGAAGACTTACCAATAAGCATGTCAGTGGCTGCTAATGAAGCAATGAAGTAGTTGCTCGGTTGCCTGATGGCTCTATCTACGATAAACGCCAGAAGGACGAGAATGTTACCGCCGACGGTTAACAGTATACATAATGCGAGGGAGAAAGCAATCAGTATCGTCTGCCAGAGTTCGAAGGGTGGTAGAACAGGCGTGAAAGGTTCCGCTGTTTAATATACAGAATATCTTCTCAGTTAGAAAGTCCTTTTCGTTTCTTTTCATTTACAAACAGATGGTGAAAACATCATCGTTGGTATTTTCATTTATCCAGAGAACATCACATCTCGGATTGAAAAATTTTCTCGATGTTCGTAATTTCTTTTTTTTTTTTTTTTTTTTTTTTGAGGGAAAAAAAACATAAAAGGAAAAAAAACTTCATAACGTCGGATCTTTCTGATGATGAAAAGGAACGTCGATTAAATGCGACTCACTAAGCACGAATAACAGCGCCGAGAGAAAAAATTTATTGTGCGGTTACCAGTTGATAAGGCTGTTGTATTTCCTGTTATCGTCCCGTTGGTAATATTTGACGGAAACCAGTCTGACAGAAGTTCTACATATTCCCCGCTGCTCCAGCGTGGATCATCCGGGTCAGGCCAGCTTCCATTAAGCTGCGAGCATTCCGTTAAAATCTGATTGTACATGCGACAAAGACGTTCTCGTTGCCTCTCCCGTTTCCTAAAAATTATTTCACAAATGTTAGCTTCATTCGTGTTTTCACGAAATGCAGTGCAACAATGTAACAACGCGTTGACCCCTTGTTTTGTAACATCGAATTCTGCTCGAAATTAAATGGTTTCGATTCGATAGAGAAAGCATAAAATGAATTCGAATTTTGAACCTAAATTTTTCCGATTGAAGATCGATGCGTTACTTACAACATTTCAACAAATTGCAGTAACTGATACTTGTCTAAGAAAATCGTAAGACAAGGGGGCATGCGTCTATCAAAATTTTTATTTTCGAAAGAAACAGATTATACTTGTTGAAAAATTATATTTATTGTTGATTAGTTACAAAATCGGTTGCTAACAATATGATATTTTATCGGAGAAGATCAAAGTGAGTTGGATAAACGTAGTTAAATCAGAACTTGCACAAGATTTTAATATCAAACAGATAGAACTGTACGTATGCGAACATGTGCACCCGGAAAAGTTATTTAATTACTTCAATTTCCCCATGTTGATTCTCGAAATCTTCTGGTGACGTTATATGAAACTTTATACTTTGAATTAGTTTGACTCCATGTCATTTCTCCTTAACTCCACAACGGTGTATCTCGATTTTCATCATTTACCTTCCCTATGTTTGTACGAAGAAAACAAAAGAGAAAAAAATACAGCGGAATTATCTGAAAATGCATGATTGCAAATTTATTAAAATTTCTACGAGAAAAAAATTACTAAAATTATTTCTTCGTTTCGATGACTCTGCTACTAATTCCAGTTATTATCTCACGCTCCAATTTCCTTATCTCAAAGGGAATTATCATTCCCAAATTTTCAACATCTCGTCTAAATATAAATTGATGTAATTCGGTAAAATTATTGGCAAAACCGAAGCGTGTCACGATCCGTTACAAAAGGCATTAGGGCGGTAGACATCGGATCGTAAGGGCGTTATTTCTTTAGTAATGTTCGTTAGCGTCGAAGAAAATGTGACAGCGGTATTTCCTGATTTTAGCTAGTGACATGCATGCCTCTTGCTCTCTATGAAACATTGCTGCAGTGGCAACACGAGAAGCAAGTCAAAGGCTGAATACACCGGGCGCACAATGAGCTTGAAATAAGCATGAATGGAACCACATCCATTCCCCTCTCTCGCAGGTCCCCGTCGCCGCCAGGCAAGAAACGATGGGCTCCGCCTTAAAGAGGGTGACTCGTTTTTAAATAATTTAGCCACTCGATCGTAACTATCCCGGGTTAAACGTACCGCTGCCTCCTACATTTTTTAGCTTGCCGTTCGCCAAAGATATGATTAACGTCCTTCGTTCATGGGCCTGCCTTGCCTTAAATATTCACCGCTTTTTCATACAGTTTTGTATACTTTTTTTTTCTTTTTTTTTTTTTTTGTCAGAGGAGTGTCTCCCTCGGAGAGCTACTCGTGGGAGACAATGTAATTTCTTCGTGTGTGTTAAGAGGAGATGAGTGACACGGTTGTAATTTTGAATTCACCGTAAATGGCCTATATTCGCCTACTGGATGTAGGTATCAGTTGCCTTATATTTTTAGTGGAAAGCTCCGGATAATTTCATATTGTTTAGCATGTTGTGTTTCAAAGAATTTAATAGTAAAATAGTTGACATAATGTTTTCATAATTGACGGCTGGTAGTGTATTTATAATGTCATTATTATTTCTACTATTATTACTATTAAACGTTCAGGTTACAATTAAGAACATAATAGTCTTTGGTAATTTAAAAGTTATATACTTTCTATGTTTTTAGCTATAAAAGATGAATTGTATTAAACATTGTGTTATCTCGATTTAATTAACTTTCTATCGTTTCCGGAATGTGTTGTGCACGGGGTCGGAAACTTTTTATAGGAAAACTATCTGCCATTTAAATTTTTTCACTTTAATGATATTTTTTAGTGACAAGTAGCGGAATGTATACGCGAAGAAATTTTCATGAGAAAAGTACTAAAATGTAAATTAAATATGTTATGGTCTTAACTTCGTATGGTCGTGAATATGAGTACAGCACGTGTATTTAAATTACACGTAAAAAGGTAATTAGGTACATGAACCACGCTTGCCTTTCATGGAATTGTTTATAAAACGACGCGTTTAAAAAGCACGCACGACAAAATTTCGTAAATAGTATTTTCAACTTTTGTTCTAATTCAAATTCTTGTGAAATGAGTAGTTTTTTTTAAAAGTTCTGTTCAGCTAACGTATGAAATCATTTTTTTTCTTTTTAACATTCGTAAAATAGGGAAACCTGAGATCGAATGTTTAACGCTTAAACTAATTTCAAAGCACACTGTTTTTTACCGCTTTAATTTTCGTCACAAACGATAATAAAAAAATTATCGTTCTTCCTTTGAATGATTAAAATAGCTGCTTTGAACATTTTGTATCAGTAACAACGTTTCGCGGAAATGCAGGACTCTGTGGAAACTTCAGAGAGCTTAATAGTTCGTTCTACTTGAAAAACATGGCTTATCGTATTTCGCGATTCAACAAACTCGATTCTACGTTAGACTGAATGTTCGTACTCTTCCTTACGTTCGTTGTAATAAATAATTCGATGATCAGTCGGTCATTTTTCGAAATAATTTTTAACGTTGCAAGATCGATCGGAACGAGTATTCACGTTCGAATTCTTTCGCTCTTCTTTCCGACGTTTAGATTAATCGGAAACTTCACGCGAATGCAATTAACGTTGCAATGTTTTCGGGTTCGACATCAGACTTGTAAATCAATGAGATCGTTCTAAGATTATACAGAACAGGTTTCTGCGAGCGCAGACAATGAAGTCACGCGAATAAAAGATAGAGAGATGAGATCCATTGTTTCAATGTTCTCGAGGGTAAATACTTGTCCTCGTTATAGCAGGCTTTCTCTTCAAGTTGCACCACCGTGAAATGATTCGTAAATACTTGTCCTCGTTATGGCGGCATTTCTTTTTTACGGCTCTGGCAAGTGAAATGATTCGTAAAGGGGGCCCAACTACCTGTAATCAACTGTAACTTGGGACGAACATCATACCGGCAAAGAAAAAAATTCCCCATTAGAACCTACGCGTGTTAGATCAATATCCCAATCGCGTCACTTTAATCACCCCTTTGCAAGAAAAGACGCCTCCGTTGAAAATTTCCCTTTCTGACTGTTGCACCTTGCAACAGGAGATCGTAGATTTATTTAACAGCGGAAAATTTATTTACTTCGCTATACCTTGGATTCTGATAATTAACTTTCAACTATTGGAGAATATAGTTGCTTAATCTTGAAACAATTTAATTTAAAATGTAAAATAAAATCGATCACCCTAAAGTTTCCATAGTCGTCTATAGCCGAGGATTAAAATTGAGAATTGCAACATTACCTAGTAACAAAATTTTTCCGTGAACCTGGTATTTCATATTTGCAAACTGTCCGATGAAGATCTGCGTTTGAAATTATGCGAGGAAGATTAATCGAGGGAATTAGTTCACGAGTTAAGGTTAAAGATACTCTGAAGATACAAGCGAGAGAGTATTTAAACGAGTTGAAGGAGGGAGTAACGGAGTATTGGCGAGAGCCGAATGTCAGTGAGGAGGGAGGCTCGAGGCAAGGGGGACGTTTGCAGGATACTTTAGACGAGGAAAGGGTGCTCGATGGGTTGCCGCAACTCGTGCATCGAAACAAGGGTGAAGTATCCGTTTTGCCTAATGAGTTGTAATGCCCGCTCATCAAGGTCATTCAACCGTGAGTCGAACAGCCAGAGACACCCTTGTCAGGGAGGACTCGCAACTTTCTGTTCTTCCATATTTCAATATTCTTCCGACAGTTGATAATTATTTCAAAAAAGTTAACTGACAAGCGCGAGGAGGTGAAATCATTCTTTTCTCGAGGCTCTCCCGCCTTTCTTTGAAGATATCTTATCGAATATCTCTCTAGCTCGACGACTAGTTAACTGGTTAACTAGTTTATTAGTTTGATAAACGACCACGAAATTAATTGCTCAAAAAGAGAGTCCCCTGTTAAACTGAATACCGCCGTATTTCCATCTGTATTGGATGATTGTTTTCTCATTCTCTATTAATTACGGACGATTCATAATTAAAGTGTACAGGTGACCTAGATTGTCGGGTCTAAGAAAAAATTTTCAAGCGCACTTGGCTAAAGTCTGCAGTAGTCACGGTTTGCCAAAAACGCGTCTGTAACGAAAACGCAAATGTGCTTCATAAAGTTGAGTGAAGATAAATATTTCGTCAAGAGCTTCGTTGCGGGTGCACTTTGAAAAAACTTAGCCTCCGCTCCACGGCTAATGAAAACTCACCATTATTTCAAACAGTAATTGCATTCTTCTCGTGAGATATCATTCCTAAAAAACTTTTTAACGAGAGAATATATTTTCCTCCTTTTTCTTTTGCTAAATAATACCGCAATTGCTCGATAGGCTCAATTTATGGTGATTGTGCGAAATTCACGTTCTCTTCTATAGCGAGACTCTCGTAAAAGTATAATAAAAGATTCATAATGAACTTGCGGTTATTATCATGCAGGGAAACAAAATTATCTTTCTTTTAAAATTCTCATTTTTTTTCTAGACTAACGAGTAGACGAGTATTGAAATATTAACGTATATATGTATGGTGATCCATTATCTCGCACCAAACATCTAATGTCCAGTAGCAACCCTAACCACGCGTATGAAAGCATCCACCATGTTTTATAGTAGACTGTACATTAAAAATCTTGTGCTCTTGCGCCTTTTACCTCTGTGTGACGTCCATTTCAGTTAAAAACATTAAATTTACTCTCTTACGTGAAAATATTCTATTACGGCTGCTTGTCTACGTACTTTTATTCCTTTTTGCAAAATTTTTTCTAATAGAATTTACTGAGATATTCGCATTTGCTTAACTACTAAAATTTTTAATTAATTTCGCACTTAATTTTGGATTTTTCTCCTTTTTAGAATGAATGAGAACTCGTTCTGTATATTTTCTAATTTACTGTGAAT